AATCTGTAAGTAGGTTCTGAGTATCTGCTTAGAACTCAGATTTGTGCTGAAGGCAGTAACAGAGATTGATGCTCTTAAGCAGTGTCATTTGAGTTTCCAGGCTTTTGCTGCATTGAACATAATGGTACTTTCCTATTCAAAATGTGTTAAGAATAGGATATCAGTTGGAGAATTGGATACAGGGAGTCCCAAGCTAGACAAATTTTAGAGGTATTCATGAAAAGACATGTCATGACCATTTATTGTGTTTCTGGCCTTGTCTTCTGGGGATAAGGGAGATGCAGACTGATCAAATAGAGAATTGCCTGGCCCCATGCCAGACCTGGTGAATTTAAACCTCCACAGAAGTTCTCAGGTCAATCTTAGAACTGAGTATGTTGGAAAGACCTAACCTGATTGCATTTACAAGAAATATCCTGACTAGGCAAACCTATAGAGACAGAAATAGATTAATAGTTACCTAGATTAGGGTGTGGCAATTGTAATGGGGTATGATTATTATACCAGGGCAAGTGCAGGTCCTTCTAAAACATTGTATGATGACTAGGTTAAGGGCTGTCTGGTAAGTTGGTATGAGCCCGGCAACAGCCAGCTATGGCGGGAATGGTACCAGACCCTGGGCAAGTGAGCCTGATGAGTGGTTCAGGGAGGCTGCAGTATAGAGTGAGAAATTAGAAATGAAGCAAGAGAGGTGAAAAACTCAAAGGGCTTTATGAGCCAGGTAAAATGGGCTGGGTTTTTGCTGCAGAGAAAGAGGACCTGTGATGGTAGATTTATCTTTTAGTAATCACTTTGCGTCATGGAGAATCGACCAAACAGCCAAAAGGAGAGGCAGGAAGCCTGTAAAAAAGCAAGTTTAATGTCCAAGTGAGAGGGTACCATGTCCTGAACCAGAGTACTGCCAATAGGGATAAATAGAAGTAGATGGAGTTTAGAAATGTTTAGTGCATTTAATTGATTGGGTTCTGATGACTAGGGTGAGGGGGCAGAGGAAAGAGTCAAGGATGTTGCCTAGCTGTACAGCTTGGATACTGAAATAGTGATCCCAGGAGCCCTAGAGAAGAAACAGGTTTTGAGAAGTTTTTAAGTTTGATTTTAAGCATGTTGAATTTGATGTTGAAAAGGAAGTGTTTGGTGTTCAGCCAAGTGTGGTGGTGCACGCCTGTAATCCCAGAACTTGGGAGGCTGAGACTGGAGGTTCACCATGAGTTTGAGACCAGCCTAGGCTACAATAGTGACTCCACTGCCAGCCTGAACTATATAGTGAGATTGTCTCAAAAGCAAACAAAAAAGCTGGGCATGATGTCACGCACCTGTAATCCCAGTACTCAGGAGGCTGTGGCAGTAGGATCACCATGAGTTTGATGCCAACCTGGACGATGTAGTGAGTTCAAGGACAGCCTGAACTAAGAAGCGAGACTGTCTCAAAAAACCAAAAAAGGGGGGAAAAAGGAAGTGTCCAATCAGCAGCTGGATGCCATAGTCCAAAAGTAAGGTGAGAGGCATGTGAATGATTTGCATCCAGCTTCACATGTAAATGGAAGCCAGCAGTAGTCCCAGGAGTGTGTTCTTTCAAGACAGCAATAAAAGGGGCCCAGGATTTAACTCAGTGGCGCCACACCTGCCTCAAGTGCAAGGTCCTGAGTTTGATCCCCAGTACCAAAAAAAAAAAAAAAAAAAAAAAAGCAAGAAGGCATAAAGGG